GTCCGAAAATCGTCTTCGAATATCGTCTTCGCCAGCTAATTCGTCTTCGCCCCCTGGCCGAAAAGGTCCGAAAATCGTCTTCGAATTTCGTCTTCGCCAGCTAATTCGTCTTCGCCCCCCGGCCAAACGGCTCCGAAAATCGTCTTCGAAAATCGTCTTCGCCAGCCCATTCGTCTTCGCCCCCCGGCCAAACGTGTCCGAAAATCGTCTTCGAATATTGTCTTCGGCACGAATTTTGTCTTCGAAAATCGTCTTCGCCACCAAAATTCGTCTTCGCCCCCCGAGCGAAAGGGTGCAAAAATCGTCTTCGAAAATCGTCTTCGCCAACCCTGCGAAAACGACCCCCCCTGCCCCGTGTCAATGAGAAATCTGGTTCCATGAACCAGTATGACCTAGCACCTTGCGAGAGCGCTTGGCTGAGTGAATATATAACGACGCTCCACGCCGCAGCGCGATTCTGTGCGAAAATCTCGCGAAAATATGAGGACTCTCTATGCGAGAGTACAATTCCGAATGCGAGGACACTCCACACCAAAACGCGATTCTGCGCGAAAATACGAGGACAAGGGAGCGCTATTCTGAGTGAAAATGTGAAGACGCTCCACGCCATAGCGCGATTCTGCACAAAAATATGAGGACATCTCACGCCATAGCCCGATTTGCGTGGCAAAGCCCGACAGGGACGCGTTTTTTTTCTGTTGCGGAAGCCGGGCGCTTTCTTTTTTTTTCTGCGCATGCTGGACACGTTTTCTTTATATTTTGCTGCGGAGGCCGGGCGCGTTTTTTTCTGCAAAGGCTCAGGCTCACTCACTCACTTGCCCTCCGCCAAATCTGCGGAAGCTGGGCGGTTTTTTTGTTGCGGAGGCTGCGCGCTTTTTTTGCTGCAGAAGCTGGGCGCGTTTATTTGCTGCTGCGGAGGCTCGGGCTCACTCACTCGCTCGCCCCTCCGCCGAAGACGCCGCAATAACAAAAAAGCCGCCACAGCCAAAAAAAGAAATCCGGGTCCACTCTCCAGGCACTGTCGTGCACAGGTGGCATCACCAGGGACTAATGGATTTCAAGCGTGACGCTAAGTAAGGTCTCTTTGGACCGACTCAACTAAGAATCACGCTGGGGCTCCACTGTTTCTGTAATTTGGGCGCGATGCCTTTGGCAGCTCCCACTGGGATAGTTGCCGTTGGTGACAATGGCCACACACGGAGATAGGTTATCCCATTTGGCCTTCCGACTCGAAGATTGCGTGGGGGACAGCCAACTTATACTTCTAGGAGAACTTCCTACAAACATGAAACCTGCCATGATCATGTGTCGCTGTCCTGCAAACAACCATGAACCGGAATGTACATTCTACCATGCTCCCAACTGGCATCATGCAACGCAAAGCACCTCAGTTGCCCTCAGAAGAAATGTAGCATCGTCTTTGAAAAAGGGCTGTCGCTCTGCGTTTTGTACATGCAAGTACGGGAAGAAGGTGCCCCTTCTTCATATCACGGTGCACTGAGAGCGTCTTCGTTGGCAGCAAACTCACAGGCACACTCCAGCCCTCTGCTTTAAACAAATTGAACATGCACTGATCAGCTCGCTTGTGTCACAATTTCACAACCCTGAGCTTAGAGTCATGCTGTACACACACAAATCTAGTTCAGCTTGAACATTTGGTTGCATATAATGCAGATGAATGAGCCACCCCAGGCTGTGTCTTACCTTCATTGATAAGACCCCATCCCTTGCTCCCTTGTCACATTTAGCAATGCAAACTGGGCGCTTCTGCAGACCGTAGTGCAACACAAGACAATGCATGGCATGACACGCGGGCCTCCGCTGTCCTGCGCCATTTGGCCTCACGAAGCAGATCCCTTCAATACGACCTCTGACTGCCATAAACTTCAATGCTGTCGGCCTGTCGGGACCGCGACCTGGCGCAGCTACAACAGCTGCTCTTTGCCGAGAAAGCTGAGAAATGCGCATCTGTTTGGTCAAGCAGGACGAACTTTGCAAATCTCTGGCTCTCGCAATATCACTCTCAGAGTCTCATCTGACATGCACCTTGCTCCAGGATCCCAGCTCGGGCTGTCCAGGACACACATACCCAACGCTTAAGGCCAATGAGTATTCGAGTCACTATACGGGCGCATTTTGCAACCAAGCTCGGTATCATTACATGCAGTTCAGGAACCAGAATTGACATGCCAGTCGCTCTTGGATCACCATCGCCATCATGCCTGAAGCCGGCATTAACTTGCATCAAATAGATTTTGCTGACTGGTGAGGGCATGCATGCAAAACATCTGAAAAAGAAAAAGGAACCCCAGCAGATGCCTTGACCCTGCCATCCGTGTCATGGCGTTGCGGCCCTCCAAGACATTGGCAATGCCTTGACATGTTTCATGCTTCGCTCCTGTCTAGCAACAACAAAAACTTACTGGGTGCTTCGGCAAGCAAGAGGAATATGAGCCACGCAAGACGTCACCATGGCTCTCGCAAACTGGCCAGGCTGACGGCTTCGAACTGCTGTCGAGGTGTTTCGAACATTCTGAACCTAGAAGGCACAGGCGCAACAACGGACATTGCACACCCTGCTACTGGGAAGTAATGGCCCGCTGGTGGAATCACGGTCCACCTCAAATTCGGCCCAAGAAAGCTCTAGACTTTCTAAACAATGTGTGAAAAGGCATCTTCCAAATTACGGCGCAAGCAGCAGAAAAAGCCTTGGAAACGGGGCCAATCCTAGAACTTCGCATGCTAAATCATAAAGGTGCCGTGTACTGAATCAAGGTCCAAACGCAAAAGCATTACATCACCATTTCAAACCTGCTTGACCCCATGGCTGGAAGTTGAAGCAGATCTCTATACGCATCACTGGAACATAGGGCAGGGTACTACATGACGTCACTGCTTGTGCAAAAGGAGAACTGTTTGGACTCAAGCGCTTGTGAGGGCTAGACGTCTCGAGGCATGTCTCCACTTAAATCTTGTTGCTATTGCTGGATGGCAACCCTTCCCGAACGAGAGCATGAAAGTTCTTCTTCATAGCCCTTGCGGACTCCGCACATAACAAAAGCTGGAGTTCTCCCTTCAAATCATTCGAACGAGAATTCCGCTATGCTCCGCCGTGAGGCATAGATTCCAGGAGCCAGCACTTCTGCTCGCTGCTCGGGGCTGAGCTCCCAAAGCTTTGCCTGTCGCTGTGGCATTTCAGGATTTTGGGAGCAGAATGGTCCACTAATAAGATGGTATGTAGAGGTTTCCTTTTGCTCAAGTAAAGCAACACCATCTCAGTCACCTCCACAGCCCGATCGAGACCGTTCAAATCCACGAAGATAGCCAGGAGCTCGTCCGGGCTTACAACGCTTTTGATCTCAGAGTCCACACAACTTGTTGAGGCAAATACCCACCAAGGTCTGAGGTCCTGACACGGCTCATCACCACGCCTGAGGGGTTTCGCACACCCCCCATATTCCTCGGCTGGTTCTGGCCAGATTTGTGCATTCAAGATACTGCAAGTTTTGGCCCCGGACCCAAGCTCATGCACCACGGATTGACGCTGCCAAAGACTGAGCCGCCTTTCGTGTCAGCTTCATTCGCCCAGGCTCCAGGCTGCAGGCTGCAGGCTGCCGTGCTTGGAACTGCAATTGGATTCCTTCGCATGCCGTGCTTCAGCATCCTTCGCTTCAGCGTTCTTTCAGAGGTTGGGTGAGTTTGCTGTGGGTGTTGCCAAGCTCTGGCTGTAAAGCTCAGCTGGGAGCCTCAAGACTTCGCCGCACCAATCTTCCAGACCCAGCTCCTATCACAAAATGACGAATCGAGAACTTCCTCAGAGATCGTCTCTACCTCCATCAGGCGCCGCACATCTGAAGGCACAGAGTCCTGAGTGAGCAAAGGGCCTACCTAAGAAAGCAGAGCACTGCTTCTGAAGCAAAACTCGTTCTGCCTCTCGATGGTGACGGTGTCGACTCCTATAAGTGTCTAGTCTTTGGCCACGCAAATGCCACCCTTCAATGCGGTGCCATTGTCCTGCTGCGCCGCTCTTTTCGTGCCCGCTCCCTTGATCCACCAGACTCGGTTCTCGGGTGTAGCGTGATTGGCCTTGCAGACACAACTCTCAGATCTGAAGCAACAGAGCGTAAGAGAAACGCTGCCTGCCACCACGATGGCTCATAGTTCGCAGGACTTCTGTAATGCCTCAAGAAAAAGCAAGCTGCAAGCCAGATAGATTTTGGTGCGAAGCTACGGCCAAGGCGACTCATGGCGACACCAGAGGGGTTCGAAGCTCTCTGAATCTTTAGTCCAGAGTCCATCACTGCCTGCACAAACGACTCGCTGACTGCTTGCAACAAGGACATCAATGTTACCACCATCTTTTATCAATTGCAAATCTCGCTGTGCTGCAGTTCGGGTTTAAGGGGTCACAGGAAAGCAGGTGTTCATACGGAGTAAGTTTGAGCTTGCAGATTTCCATTGTCACCATGAGCATGAATAAGGGCTCAACAAGAGACTAGCATGGCGAAATGCACTTCAAACACGTAAAGCAGACGGCCAACCACAAAAGCCCATGATTTGTTCATTTTTTCATGTTTCTCAAAGATTTTCCATAAATGTTCGATAATTTTTCGAAAAGATTATGAAAATTTGTGAAGATTCAAGACTTTGATGAAAGATCAAGAAAATTTTCTGATCTCCCCTTCTTTTTTTTCGTATAAATGATGAAATGTTTAAGTTTTCAGAGAGATTTGCTCATTTTTCCTCATTTTTACCTGAAAATCAATCAAAATCCTAGATTTGTGCAACAGTTTTCTGATTTCCTCGTCGCACTCTATCAAGTCGTAAGGCAAGCAACTTCAGACGCTGCATGACATTGGGCCTCAACCGCAGGTATCTTCAACAGAACAGTCGTGGTCGATTCACGTGCAAGCATGCATGCTCAAATCAGGTGCATCAACTAGAGTAGAAATTGAGAGGATCTGTGGGAAGTTATCAGCGTATCAACGCTTCGTTATCGTCGGTCAGAAGCCAGAGAACAAGACGATAGGACCTCGATTCAGTCAGTTTGCCCTGCAAGCCCGTTAGTAGTTTTGCCAAAGAGCTACGCTGACTGGATATCGTAGCTTTTGGGGCCATGGTCCCTGGATAATTAGCAGATTATGGAACACTCCCTTGGTCTCAGCTTCCTCAACAGAACCTTCTTGCCAATCAAGTGAGGCAGACATATAAACGGCCTCACATTGCTCGGAAGTAAGGGTCGAAAGCCGGTCCACAACACCTTCACCCAGGTCATTGACCTTCCCAGGCAGTTTGACACACGAGTGTGGTGAATCAGCTTGCGCTCAAGCCTTGATGAACATCTGGATTCTTTGCTCCACAGATACCACCTGCTTCACCCTGCTGATGACCACCCCTGCACAACGAACACAAAGGAGAAGCCGATTGCATATGTAACCCAAACAGCACACAAAAAAAGGAGCGGCACCGTTCGGATTGCGAGCTCGCTCCACGTTGAGAGGCTTACGCAGAACAGCAGATCCTTGAGCTGCAGGCTCCAAGTTCATGGCTTCACATCAACGGCACATTAATGGTGCGTGGTGCATCATTGCTGAGGCAATGGCGCTTCGAGGGCGATAGCATCATCAACACCTCGATTCTAGCCCCATGACAAAACGACCAGAAGATCGATCTGCCGGGGCATCCTTGCAGACTCACTAGGCAGAAATGCATAGTACAGGCCAACATGGAAACCAGGTTCCCAGCTTCAACAATCCATTCGTCTAGGCTGTGCAGAGCCACGAACTCTCGAACCTGTTCCTCTCCAATGTCCTCCTTGTTGTTGTTACGCAAGCACACAACATTTGCACTGGAAGCCTATTTACTCTGACACCTCAACTTAATCATGTCAACTCACATCTTGACTTTCCTTGCCTTGCTATTGCCTTCAAGAGATTCTGGGCCTTGGTTGGTTGTTGAGCCGTGTGTCTACTTACCGTGCCTTCCAGAAGCATGACTTCGCTTCTTCTGAGTTCACGGCTCCCTGAGCGCGAGCGACTCAAGTGCCGTCGCCCTCCCCGAGCAATCGCCTGAATGCAGCTGGAACATGCTGGGCAGCTGGGTGCTGTTGGCAGCACACCATCTTGCCCAGTAGGCAAACCGAGGCAAATGCAGACAACTTGTCGCTTAGCGTCGGTGCCCTTGCTGCCGCACCCGCCTTGGCGGGACCTGTTGGCCGCCATACAAGTTGCATCATCCTGCTTGCCGCAATCAAACATAACATCTCTTGCCAAATCTGCGAAGGCCAACATCAGCCCTGTAAGCCAAAACCCCCCCGTGAATTTTCAGCGACTCGGTTCTTAGGCTTTGCGAAGCCCCTATGGAAGGATACCAAGGATACCTGCTCTCGCCCACCTCCATCATCTTTCAAGGCCGAAGCAACCTGGCAAAAACGCTTAAGACCAGCAATACCGATTCAGTAAAAACATAAACTACAAGCCAACAAGCAAGATGCAAACTCTGAAACAATGGTGGTTCCAAAAAACACCTTCTTGGTGGGTAGATGCTTCATACATCAGCAACGCCAAGCCAGAAACAAGGGCGACATGTAAAGTCATATTGACTTTGCGTTTGCCTGTGTTAGCCCAACAGCACCTGCGCCAGTGCTGAAGCCGCTTCTTGGATGTTTACCTGAAAACACGCACAACTCAACTGCCAACTTCAGAACATGCAGCATGGTTTTTTATGGAATATCGAACCATAAACTGCAAGGTTTTGTCTAACCTTCACTAAACGATCAGATCCGGCGAAATGCTATTGCAGCCTTCATGCATGGGACCATGGGGCGTGTGCAAATGACAACCCTGCGGGCGTCATGCATTGCAACGGCACATGCTGCCCCAGCCACCTTCGTGTCAATGTTTGACTTTCCTTGAGGTGACCCCTGGCACCACCCGCATCTGCTACGGAAACAACCAAGAACCAACTTTGTGCGAAACGGCTTCGAGCCTCTGAGCCTCCCAAGCGTGCCAATGCTGCGGATGCCTCACGCAATGCACTCGAACATGTTGGACCTGGCATGAAAATTGTCGGAACCTCCTTCAGCACATTAGCAAGCCCTGCCATGAGCTCAGGGTTCTTCGCGGAATCTTTTTGATCCTGTGACTGTGGCACATCTAAGCCCGCAAGCCACATTGCCACGCCAACACGATCAACAAACGAAACCCGGTGGCCAGTCACAGAATCGTTGGGTTTGCATGACCAGCACAGTTTCCTCCTTAATGCCATCATCCAACATGGCTGGCGAAGGTTGTCAAGCAATTTGCTTGTATTGTGCTTGGAAAGGCCTTTGATGCTCATACTTGCATGTGACCGCACCTCAATTCTGGTTGATGTTTGCTGTTCTGCTAAAAGCTGAACAAAAGCTGAACCCATTTTCACAAATCAACTGACCATCAAGCATGAGCAAACCATTCGCCATTATTGCCATAAGCGACTCTTCTTCAATCAGCCATCCACAAATTGTGGGTTTGGGTTGGTGGCGTATGCCTACAACGTCCTACTCACCATGAAAACTCGATCAAAGGTATGTAACCTTGGGTTTGGTGGATTCTTACGCAGAGTTTCTGTTGCACAGGTGCGGCTCACTCCTTTTCGTTTTGAGACGCTTCAAATGCTGTCAATTAATCCATCTCTTGGTCTTGGGGCGCTTCAAATAACAAAATTAAAGTTTGCTGGTTTTGGAACGCTTCAAGCGCTGTAAATTACAGCGTCTGCTGGTTTTGGAACGCTTCGAACGCTTTACTTTTGAACCAAACGACCCGAGCCAGTGTCACAGAGTCACAGAACTTAAGACTTTTAGGACTTCACCACGCAACGAAACTCAGCACAATGTACCAAAGCTCGCTCGGACTTTTTGCATCAAAGGGGTGGACAGGCATCCTTCGTGATACCCACGTGTGCATCCACGCAAAGGCCATGATTGGCACACGCTTGCACGCCGGGCTGATTCAGCTAAACAGCAAAACTGTAAAGTTTTTTTCTCTTCAGCTGAAAATCTCTGCGATATTGGGTTGTAAAGTGAAACATGTATACTAAGACCGGTTCATTTCAGGTAGGTCTCATGGGTGCCAAATATTTTCGTAGCTAGGGGTTTCCCTCTGTTTTGGAAGGGCAGGAGTGATGATATCAAGTATCGCAAAAATTTTCAAAGCTTATCTAATCGTCAAAAATATCATATCATTTTCCAATGTGACGGGAAAGCGCGACTGCGGAACCACGTCCCGGTATACTGGGGCATGCGCCGGGTACGCCGGGTACACCGAGTATGCGCCGGATACGCTGGGTATGCGCCAGGTACGCCGGCTATGCGCCGGGTATGCGCTGGGTACGCCAGGTATGCGCCTGGTACGCAGGGTATGCGCCGGGTATGCGCTGGGTACGCCAGGTATGCGCCGGGTA